ATTTATATACTTATTTTACCCATGACCTTAGCTTAAGCTTGTTTAATTTTCTGTTTCTTCTGTCGTTTTCTAAGTGTGTTGTCTTTTCCTACTTTGTGACAGCTTATTTAAAATAACCTGTGTTAAGTGATATCATCCTAAAATACAGGTCAAGAAGTCTCTACCTGTGGAAAATGTGTCTGAGAATAACATAAGGAATTAGTGGTGTTTCCATCTGGGAAGTATAGAAACATGGAAGAGGAGAATGTCTACTTTTCATTCTGGAATGATCTGTATGGATCATTTTTGTCCCTGAGCCTGTATTACTTTTATAATTTATCATCTGGTTAAAAAGTCAACCCATCTGTATTCATCATGACAGATGCCATTCTAACAGGCCTTGAAAGTTTTAGTGATATTAATGCCATTTGCTTATGTATATGTTTATTATAAACAAATGAAAAATCTCCTTGTTTTAAGACACAATAGTTAATGAGTCCAGCATTCCTGCTGTTGAAGCACTTCTAGGTGCCTGTAATTAAAAACTGGTCAGTGATTCGTGCTGGTGTCCATTTATGGGCGGATGATGGCAAAGCTACTTTTGTATCTGTAGCTTTTAGCTTTCAATCACATGCTCCCAGTGAGCATTTTAATAATATAGAAAGTGCTTCAGTCAGCGGGTCAAGACATCCACTTCCATCCCAGCTTTCTGTGTTTTTATTTCATGTTTTTCCTCTTGGCAGTGTTCGCAGTTGTAATCCATGTCACATGCCGTAGGTTCTCCACATTGATTACCAATCGCTAATGATTCCTATCCAGAGGTCCCAACACATTCCACTCTTCGCACTTCCAAAGGTTTTCTTTCTCTGGAAGGTTTTTCTCACATTCTCATCCCACAATTTTGTTCCCATGTCAGTCTGTCTGACCCTGCTACTCATTTGTCAAGTGTTTCTATATGGGCTTATTTGTTTTGAGTTTCTGCATATGGTTCGCCCATTGTTAGACATCTTTAAACCTTTTCATCTTTAAGTAAATAAATGCTTACAAGTACATAAAATTATATGATACCATAAATGAATGCTCAGCAATGCATGCAATTCTTATAAACATCTTTATGTATTAAGATCAAAATTAGGAAGATACATTTAAATTTACACATTATAGAAAGTGCAAGTTTAATTTCCAATAGAGTAAGTATATAAAGACTTGGAAGCATATAGCATTTTCTGAGCATGCACTGTTTGTAATCTGTAACATTTAAAAATTAACAAAAGAGGGCCGGCCGAGTGGCGCGACGGTTAAGAACTGGCTTGGGACGCCAGAGGGCCCCGGTTCGGATCCCACATGTGAGGGCCAGTGACACTGCCCTCCACAGCTAAGATGCTGAACAACAGCTCAACCTGGAGCTGGGCTGCCATGAGTCGCCGGCGACGGCGTAGGCTCAGTCCCTGTGGCAGTGGGTTGCCATGGGCTACCGTGTGTAGCCAGCAGCCAGCGTGAGCGGCCAGCAGCCGCAGTGAGCGGCCGTCCAGAAGCCGGCGACTGATCTGCCTCACCCGGGAAGAGCGCAATGATGGTGCCAACTTGGGCCAGTGAAGCAGCGTCCTCCACAACTAGACTGAAGAACAAAACGACAGCAACTTGTCTGTTCCCCTTCCCCCAATTCCCCAGCACTGTTCCCATCCCCCCAATTCCCCAATAAAAAATCTTTAAAAAAAATAATAAAAAATAAAAATTAACCAAAGAGATGTGCAAGAGGCTGGCTAAGTAACTCCCTACCTCAGTGGTTCTCCAACTTTCATGCATCAGCATCACATGAGGGGCTTGTTGAAACAGTTTGCTGAGCTCTTATTCAGTCGGTCTGCAGTGAGCCTATGAATTTGCTCACAAGACCCCAGCTGATTCTGATTCTGTTGAGACCCATTGCTATCCCCTTTCTCCTCCTGAGCACACAGAAACTTGGCATTTCCCAGCTGTGCTTGAAGTTAGGTTGGGGCCAGATGACTGGGTCTGAGCCAATGGCATGTGTATATCACTTCCAAACCTGGCCACAAAATTCCCTGCGTGGTCCTACACACTCACTCTCTCCTCTTCCCTGGGCACCTGCGGAGGCTACGTGTGAAAGATGGCAGCCTGCCAAACTGGACGGTGCCTGGATCTGTGAGTCGGTACGTGAAGGAAAGCTGCCTTACATAAAACTATCCTGTGAAAGAGGAATGAGCCTTTGTGATATGAGTGAAGTCACTGAGGTTGGGGGCAGCATTGACAAACTTATCCTAATACACATGACTTTCACGTGATCATGAGATAAAACATGCCAAGCTCTGAGGAAATTTTTATTAAGTAAATGAGTGGAGAGTAAGTCAATCTACCATCCACTATCCCCATCAAATATATATATATATATATATGTATGCATGTATTAATGTCCCTTCGGTTCAATGTCATTTTATTATGATATTAATGAGATGCTGTGGGAACTTAACCCTTGTTTATATCAGTTAGGCTATGGTAAAATTGGTTCTGTTATACATCATTATACCACAGTTCAAGAACCTATTGTCACCATTAAGTGAGGACTTACTGTATTTAAACCGGTTTACGTGTACTTACCCTAGAGCCACGTGCCTATAGGCCATGGAGAGCTTTCTGCCAGTTCTTCAGAGCTTCTCCTAAATTCGCCTTAGTACATTTTGGGTGAGCTTTCACCTGAGCTGCTCCAACTGCCTGCTCCTTGGGCTCCTATATTCTTGTATTCTCTGGAAGGTTCTACCTGCACATCCTTTGTTTCATGTTTCAAGGCCCTTTTCCTTCCGCTCAAAGTCCATTAGGGGACAGCTCTGCCTTGCTTGCCTCTGTTCTTCCCCTACCTTGTTCTGCCAATGAGGATAGCTCAGAATTTCCGACACTAACTTGGCTGGGGCAGAGTTTGCCCTGAGGCATCTTCAGAGTAAGATCAGTGGGCCCAGAGAGATCCATTTCTCCATCACAGTCATTAGTGGTGAGAGCCTGCCAGAAGGTCCCTCTTCCTTAACCCTATTGCCGGTGCTACTTTTGCTGAATCTGACCCACACCTTTTATCTGGACTCTGCCTAGATGTGCATGTTCCCCTTTCTGCCCCACCGATCTTGCTGAATTTGACCACTTGCCAACTTGGGAGCATGTTCAACAAGTTCGAAGACAAAAAATAAGAGCACTGTGCAGTGGAGAAATGGAGAAAAAATGAGTATCAAGAAGCACAGAGAGGAATGGAGAGCATTGAGAGATGGAGCTGGTGAGAAGGTCTTTGTAGCTCTCGGCTGTGTGACAAGAGTGACCTTTTACCAGCAACCTTTACCAGCAACATGGCCTTGGTAATGCCTACTTGATAGATTTATTGTGAGTATAAAACATATACCGGGGGTGCCAAAAACATGTATACAAGTGGACACTTTGGTCAACATTGCTCAAACAGTAGTTTGACGTAATCAGAAGTGTCTGGACACTGATGGTAACCACTTTGAGCACCTCTTATAATTACAGAAGTCAATCGTGACTTGTATTCATCTTTTGTTGTCCATATATATATTGAGTATTACCACTTTAATACAGTTTTCCTTTCTTGAAATGTGTATATGATTTTTTTGGCAGCCTCTGTATGTGCAGCTCTTTGCTTAATGTCTGGCCCATAAGAAATGTTCATTTATGGTCATTTTCTTCTCCTCTTTCTTTCCTTTATATTTTTACCTATATTTTGAGTTCACTGAAACAACAACTTGGTCTAATGTTTCCATGGATCCCCTTAGTGTCCAGACTGATAAGAACTAATTGGTAAAGGCTCAATAACTCACAGCTGGGGCTACCATTATTATTAATAAGCAGTCATTTCTAGGCTAGGATTTTACATGTGTTTTCTTACTTGGGTCTTTATTTAATAAAAATTGCTGTGGATTTACAAGACCAAATTGAGTTTCCAGCATCTGATACTTTCATATGTGGAATTACGCATTTTTGTTATCCATTAATACTTGGGGTTTAATTGTTCAGTTTGGACATGGTTTTGTTTTCCAAAAAGTGAGGTATTGGTTATTTCAGAGCTTTAAAGCATCTCTAAGATTTAGAATTATGAGGAATGTAATCTATATATATTTAATTGCCACATATATTTGCATCACAGCATTTTTCTGATAGCTATTAGAAAAGTGTATAAATACAGAGATTAAGTGAATGCATAAAAATAAAAAGATCCTTTTACCAATAGTTTGCTGCTCAAACAATAAAGCAATAATTTAGAGCTCTGACCTTGTAATTCAGCTGATTCGAAAAATCCAATTCCCTTTTGATTTCATGTTATGTTGTCTCTAATTGATGGAGAAATCTAAGTGAATCCATATGCCCAAAACTGACCTAGACAAACTCCATTTCTTTTGTGTCTACATGCCTTGTGTGCCCTTTTTACCCAATTTTCAAGTGGGAAAAAAAAATTGGGGGTTTTCTTTTTTCTTTCTAACTTCCAAAACTGCAGACTACAGCTGGGTTCTCCTTCTTTCTCGCTCACATAATTACATAGTAAAGTTCCTGCACTCCAAACTTTGCTGGTAATTCTGTTGACAATACACAAGACAGAATAGAATGCATCCCAGTCTTCTTTAACTAGCTGAGCCTAACACTTGCAGAAACTCCCTTTAATCGGATTCATGTCCTCAGACCCAACCCAATGCTCAGATAGCAGATCAGAAGAGAAAGCATCACCTTTTGTTGCACGACCTAACAGGATTTGTGGGTTTTTTTCCTGATTATTGATGGTAGATACGAGATAATATTTACACTCCACATATTACCCACAAGGCTCTTTTGGGGTTTTTTGTGTGTGCCTTTTTCATTCTTCTGCTTTTATTAAGAAGTTCCTGTTTATCCCACCCCTTAGTCCTTCTTACAGACAGGTTTTGTGTACTGGCCTATTCATAAATTATGAATGTTGCGTTGGAAAAAAAACCTTTCAGAAACAGGCCCTCCTAACATGTAACTACTGGTCGTTTCAGCCAAGCTAAAGGATGCCTGGAGCACGCCCAGCTCTCCTAGGGAAACAAGCTTCTGAAGCTCTTCTTCCACGAGTCAAACAACTAACTTTATGTCCCGTTTGCGGACAGTGGTGCACACCTACATTGATCATGTTTGCTAAGCCTGTGTCAGTCTTTTTAGCCTGCTCAGCTCAGGGGAGAGTCAAGATGTGTGGCCAGGCCCCAGAGCCTTTAAGTAGCAATGAAAAGATTTGCACTCATCGAACGAGAAAATGGCATGCCTGACTGTCTGTCTGGAAGGAAGACCTTTCGCTCTAATGTTGCATGGCAGGCTGTGCTCATGGCCCCCAAGACCAGCTCACACCTCATTCCTGGGCAAGCGTTTTCCCCATCTAACCTGAGCAGCAAATGTGTCTGACATGAAAGCAGGCTGCCCTCAGATTGGGAAGTAAGGAGACCCCACATTGGGGGCCAGTTATGTTAACCTGAGTAGGTCGTGCTGCATCTTACTGGCAGCTCTGAGATGTGCCCTCAGTGCCTGAGAAACTGAAGGTGTGGATGGTCTGCCAGAAGTAGCTTATGTCTGAAGCCCTAGCAAGGGACGCATCCTTTCTCCCCCTGACACCCTGTGTCCTCCTTCATCTCCCTTCCACATCTCCTCCATCCTTGAGAACCCGAGTATGCCAGTAGAGTGGCTGTGAAGGGAGTTGGGATTACCCTGTAGAAACGGACTTTGAATCCCCTAGGTAGAAAATATCACCAGTTGGGACCTACAATCTGATTATTATTAGGGGTATTTTGCTTTTCACATCTTTAGCTGGCTTCTAACAGCACTGGTCTGGCTCTGATGTAAAAAAAAAAAAAAAAGCAAACCCACTAAGGTAATCCTAAAGGAGATATAATATAAAGCTACTGAGGAGAGCCATGTGATACAAAAGCAATCATAAATTGACTTATGTGTTTTCTGTTTTCCAATTGTATGCATTGTATTTTCATTCACAAATATTGATTAAATGCCACATCTATGCAACCACGAAGGTGAACAAAAGAGACGTTTTTCTGGCCCACAAGAAGCTAACCATCAAAGTAGCATTCTTCCCGTTATCATGAATCGTCAGAGTTGACTGGGTTTAAGCCTATAGCCATAACACTTCAAACGTGCTATTTTACCTTGTCTATGTACCTTACGGCTCTGAATTTCAGCATCTCATGTATAATGGGTCTGGCCATTCTGCTGGGCCCCGACATTGGTATCTGTGTGGTTTTGGGGATGCTGCTTAACATTTCTGAGTTTCAAACACTGCATAAGTAAAATGAAAGTGTGCCCCGTTTTCAAAGGTTTAGTGTGTGTGTGTGTGTGTGTGTGTGTGTTTAATGGAATGCAGATTAAAGACTAGCCTGGCCTAATAGCTGTGCAGAATAGAAATAGCTTTTATTGTATTGTTGCTGTTTTTTTTCTGTGAATCCGTAAATAGCTTTGATTCAAGGATTCCAGAATGTGTGTTATTAGATTTACCAAGATTGTCTGATTCAGGCATGCTGCCATTTATAGTCTAGAATTCAGTTTCTAAAGCATCACTCTGCAGCATTTTTCTTTTTTTTATTGACCCACAGGCAGGAGGATGAATGAAAAGACAAGTATATTCACTTTAACCCCTTATGCAAGGGCGTGCTTAGGATCCATTGCTATGTGCCTAATAAGTTGTCACCAAAGCATCAGCTGCCCTATGTTGACCTGACACCAAATTCTGAAATCATGTTATTGCAGATTCACGCAGGCAAAACATATGACAGTTCACATAGATCTTTTAGGATCCTCTAGCTTTTTCCCTCCATGTTAGAAAAATAGCAAAGGGCCTTTCTGGGAACTAAATGGTAATAGATGATAATAAGGAAGGTTTAGGAAGTTAGTAAATATTTCCTTTCAGAGACAAGGACACATGGAAATCAAGCCTCTGAAACATCAGCCAGACACTGGAAACTCGCCTGATTTGGTTTCATTAAAAATACCAAAGAATAATTAGACCATGAGGGGAATTTTGTTTTCCATTCCCCGGGGACTACGATTAGTAAGTGACTTTCCATGTCATTCTTTTTTCCACTTCCTGTTTCTTCCCCCCTTTGAGAAAACTGTTTGCTAAATGACTGGAACACATTGGGAGGAGTGCCAAAGCACCTCGGGCTGTGTGGCCGACCCACGAAACACTGTGCATGTTTCCTTTTCATCCCCCAGGTGTAGACGCTCCCTCAGGCCTGGACAGGGCCTCTCCTTGTCTCTTCATGTAGGCAGCCAGCTTTGAGAGCTTTTCTTTGCATTGTTAATCTAAAAGAAAAAAGAGAGGAAGAACTAAAAAAAGGAAGGAATGGATGTATGTGCAGTGAAGTTACTTTATTTATAAGTGTCCCTAAGGAATGGATGGCAGTGAAACACTGTCACAAATAAAAAAGCAACCAAAGTTTTCATTGTACTGGGAACTGTACACAATTAAGCTGAAATATAAACGTAAGCCAGAATTTTGGTTAGCTGCTTATTAAAATAATCAGGGCAGTGATGCGAGGAAGTGTGTAAGCCAAGGAAATTGTGAGGTTTGGTTCAAATGCTCTCTCTGCAGGTATTGCATGGGAAGGAGTTATAAAGTCATGGGTTTAGTAAATAAAAACTCTCCCACACTGAAAATCAAAAGATATCGGAAAAGAATGAAAGAAATACACACACACACACACACACACACACACACACACACACACACACAGATTTGTAGTAATAGAATCCTGAACTTGAAGGGATTTTTGTGAAACCATTACTAAACTGGCCACAACCAAGTTCCCATTTAAAACACATTTTTCCCAGAGTTTTCCTTTTTGAAAGATTCGCTTTACAATGTGCGCTTATTAAGTAGCAAATTGATTTCCCACTAAGTAAAAACATGATCCTTCCATTAAAGTATTGGATTAGCATGAAATAACTAGTTACCTCTTTCAGTTAATGGAATTTGAAGCAAAAACAGTGCAAGGCAGCCAACTGCCGCCTTTGAGGGGGGCTGGTTGAGAACCACTGTCTATTCCAGGGGGAGTTAATGACTCAGCCTGAGACCATACAGTTTAGTTCAAGGTGAAGGCTACAATACTGATCTCTCAGTTTCTCGTCTAGCAGCAGCCTGTTTGCTAAACCCCATCACCACTTTATAAACTTGTGAGGCTGAGGAGTTTTGAGTGTTATTAATTCCAAGATTTGGGAAACAAAACTGCATTTGAAAGACGGTAGAAATAGCACTGTCGTAACCCATTTTCTTTTCTAGATTTCTGATTAAATTGTCTTAATATCAAATTGGTCATTTTTTATTTTTGGTCTCATGCACCATGCTGTTAATTAAGGGCCATAAATTTTATTCAGCTCATCCTTTGTAAAAGCTTGCAAGTCATGGACTTTTTCTTATTTGAATCCTTTAGTATGAAAAGTGCCACCCTGACACCCTTCTGTTGGATCCTAGAAACAGATAAAACCTAGAAAAAGCTCAGCGGACACCTTTCTTAAGTAAATCGTGTTAAGATTGCTTCTTTCTGATCAGAGCACATTTGGAATCCAACTCTACACTCTTTGTATCTCCAAGCAAGATGGCCAGGAGCTCAGACGTGCTGTTGGGGACTAAACAAAGAGTATTTGAAAATTATTTGAGTCCACACTAAGTATGCTTAGAACTGTGTCCATTCACACCTTTAGCATAGTGGAGTTGGCATCAGAAAAGTGATGATACATAAAAAATACAGTATGAGCAAGAATTAGAATTGGTGACAACAACTTGGGAAGTGTGAGCAGATGCTGAATGTGATTAGCACCCCGTAAGTGAAGAAGCCATAATGAGTGACTGGTCCACCACCCCTGACCACATTACATTTTTCGACCATCTGATCATGCAGAGAAGACGTGGACGGTCACTGTGGCTTATCGAAGCTCTTTGGAAAGTGTGGGCTCACTGAATGGCCGCCAGGCCCCGCCTATCGTTCAAATCACGTTTGGAAAACAACGCTGAGCTGCCTGCCATTTTGAGTTGCTGCTGCCAAGTGATCCCTATCTTGAGGTTTCTTCAGGGGGACGTTTATGAGATCTAACGGGTGTCTTTCAGCCTATCAATTAGGAGACGAGCAGAGGCAGATGTGATATATTAGATGGCCCTAAGATAGATCGCTCCAGAAAATCTATTGACAAGAGTAATTCAAGTTGCCAGGAATCCAAAGTTTGCCATGTGACGTCCCCAGAAGTCTGACAGCGTTTGACTGGTTTACTCTGCTAAATGAAGCTGCTGAGATGGCTGGGGCGAGGTGATTAATAAAATGCATAAATCTTAACTCTGGGAAGAAAGAAGATGAATTGATGCATGCACATATTGGAAATGTAATGAAACCAAATGGAAACTACCAGGATTTGCTAATGGATGACCGAGACAAATACCATGTGTAGTGTTCCTCACTGGTCTTGTTTTGTTGGTCTCATTTCGAAAATGACCAGGAAGCCATGTTTAGTTTTATTTTTCATTTTTCTAGCACAGGAGACCTGAACTGACAACAGAGCAGGAAAGTAATAATTACACAGTGAATACGCGCCCCTGGTATCATTTATTATTTATTTCCCCCATGTTAATAGAACTAAAAAAAAAAATAAGAGAGAGAGAGATTGGTTCAGCTTTCCTCAAAGCTACTAGTGGATGCCGTTAGTAATCATATACGAAGTTCAGTAGTTTTTAAAGTAATTAGAACCCCAGAGCAAATAAACATTAAATGGGCTCTCATCTTTGAAGCTGTTCTTTCTAACTAAATAGCTCTGTTCTACTATAATTATGTACTAGTCATTATGAAATTAAAAAAAATTTAAGTGAATGGGTGCTTTTTTAAGAACCATTTGTTTCTTGCTAATTATTATGAACTAATTGTAGTTTATGATGGTCTTCAATGTCTGTGAAGGCACTGCCTTAGAGCACGACGCCCCAATGGTGGCAAGTTTCAATTCCAGAAGGGGAAAAACAAAAAAATGGTGGAAAAGAGGATCCAACCAGTCAAAATCTGAATTGACTTTGAAAAGCTCTTTCTGAAGGTCATCATAGGCAGCTGTGCAGGGCGGTGGCATAAAAAAAACTTTATTGACACATGGACCTGAATCTCATTCCAGCACAACTGGAAGCTAACTGTGACCATCAGCATTTTAGTTAGTGTCTCCAAGCCTCAATTTTGTTTTGCATTTGCAAAATGGGGGTAATAATACCTACCTTACAGCATTGTTTGGGGGAATCAATGATAATGTTTATAAAATTTTGAGCATAGAAGCTGGCATCATGGTAGCTATTACTATTATTGTTGTATATCATTATTCCCATTGTTATTTTTGTGATAGGAAAAGTGACTACAGCTCAGAGGCCCAAACTTGCTTTTCTGGACAGTTAGTCTGTGGTATCTTGTGACAATGGTGTTTTCAATGGCAAGCTTGTATCTGCTAAGAGCATGGGATTTAAGTGAAGCAATCCAGAAAAGCGGAAGTTTTCCTTGTTATTTCCCTATCCTTATGAGCTCAGGCCTGGTTAAGTGTGGGTAGAAAGTGTGACTGTACCAGCCATATATTCATTAGGGGCTTTCCCATGAGCCAGCAAGCTCTTGAAAGCCCATGCATTCATAATTTCATCAAAGTCCACACTTTTCCAGTATCTTCCTAGGACAAGAAGGAAAACAGACAACAGGTAAACAATAATAACAACACCATACATCACACAACAAGAAAGACCCCAACAGATG